CTGATCCCAGCTGAAACTGTCGAAACTGGGAGAGGCCTCTGGAAACCCAGACCTGCTGCATTGCTGATGTCCAAGTGAACCACGTCCTTCTGGTCCAGGAACAGCATGCGGAAGTAGACGCTGCAGGCCGCAAGCAGAGCCTTGTGGGCCTTGAAGTCCACTCCGTCCACCACGAAGGTGCAGTCACACAGCAGGCCCAGCTGCCTCTGCTGGTTAAACTGCTCCAGCACCTTGCCGCTGTGCCAGGGGAAGTCCATCGTCTCTCCAACTGGAGCGCACGCTATGGGCAGGGCAGACGGGGACAACATCTGAGTGCGATGAGGCGGTCCGAGTGGGCAGCTGTGTCAGCATGCGCAGGCCTCCAAGGAGCAGGTAAAGGTTTATTCCTGCTGAAAGGAACAGAAAAGAGGCACGATGTTTCGGCTGGGGATCTTCATCTCTTTCTGGCAGCATGAGATAAACCTTTACCTGCTCCACCCCACTGTAATGGTGGACAAACTTCTGTAAACATGACGCTCAGATCGGCAAAGTTCCTCTCATCACGCGTGGACTGACGCGTGTATGGTCACGCTAACAGTCAGCACATATTAACATATCAGCAGATATATAAATAAAAGGAAATATCTGGTCTTGTTTTTTATGTGACTTCCAATATTTTTGGAGTCTTAATTCCATGGCGTCCTGCGCAATAACCTTTGTTTGAGCGGGTGTTGTTGATGTGTTTGAGGCTGCTGACCGGCCCGCCCTGGCCTGGGGACACCGTCCGAGCCGGCGGCCGGAGCCCGGCGGGGACCTGCAGCCAGCCACTGATGCACACGCCCGCAGCGCAGGCTTTCCGCTCAGACACCCGCGGGGGGAAACGGTCTGTGCGGGTGTCCGAGGAGAGCCACAACTCACGGGCTTTTCGGTATTTGGTTGACGATGCAGGATTGATTATGCCTCCTCTATCCCTGCTCCTCTCTATCCGGGATTAACTCACACTGCCTTGCCGCTGCGGCGGCAGACAAGATGGCGGGTGTCGAGGGGCGGCCTGTCGGTGTCGCTACGTCCTTCAAGCCACGTCCTCCGCCCGCCATTACCCTTGACACAGACTCAGATATACCTGTTAGAGTCCCGTCTCGGGGACCCCCGTCTTCCCCAGGAGCTCAGGAGCAGCCGTGTGACGATTTTTCGACGATACGTTCGTCCCGGTCGATCGAGTGGTTCTGTGATCGATCTCTCTCCTCAGACTCGATCCGCCGCCATCTTCTGCTCTCTGATCGATTGATAGTGGCCGGGTGGAAAGCCGCCGACTGCGCATGCTCACGGGTGCGCTAGCGCAGTGACGCAGAAGCTTGGACTCGCGGGAGCGCGTCTGGAGGAAATAATAACAACAACACGCTGCAGTGTGTATTGCAACGCGGTGTGTGGTACCTCACAACATAACAGCGCTGTCTAACAAAATGCAACGCAACAAAGTAAAGTAATAAAAACTGCAGCAAAACAAACGGCATTCAGAAGTGTTTAACATGATATAGTTCAGTGTATATAGTGTGCTGACGAAAGCTGTTCAATTAGACACTAAAGCCCAGAGCTTGGTGAGCAGCAGTGAAACGGGCACATCCAGAGAGGTCTTAGCTTCGACTGGACTCTTCCCCCTGCCCGTGTGTGCTGGCTGACGCGGCCCCACACACTCACAGCCTGCCCGCTGTGGGAAGGGCCTGTTTTTAATGACTGGAGAAGCAACTGGACAGCAAACACAAGTTTTGGAGGATGACATGGTGTGATTCTAAATTAATGGGGTAAAATGTCCTGAACGTTGTGTCCCCTCATTTTAAGGTTCAGCCTTGTGTAAAAGGAGCCAGGAAGGGCTCGGTGGAGGCGGGCTGGAGCTCGGGGGGCTGCCGGCACAGTGCTGGGAACAGCTGCTCCGGCCCTGGCCGCTGACCGACAGCTTGTTGACGTGGAGATCGCTGCAGGGCTGCTGTTGCGAGCGGGAAGTTTTGTGGCCGCGGGTGTCTGTGAGGAACCTTGCCCTCCACTGCCTCAAACCTTGTCAACCCAGTATAAACCCGCTGGTTTCTGACGAGGGCTGAGGTCTTCTCCTTTTCACACCAGCGACTGAGTCCTGCAGTAGTACAGCTGGAAAAACCTCGCACCTCAGAGCAACAGAAGAGTCACCAACTCACGTCACCTGACTGTGTTGCACCAGAACCTGGGTGTGAACCACAGAAATGGCCCTGCTGGGCCTTAAAGATCAACTCCGTGTCTCTCCAGTCCTCTGTGTAGGGAAGCTCCGCTTCTCTCACAGCAGGACTCCTCATCTCAGCGATGGGGACAGAGCTGCAACCCTGCGGGTTCGGGACAGAGGCTTGGGAAGAGCAATGAGGGCCCCCAGCCGTCTCCCTGGGGCTGCTGGGAGAAAAGGAGCCTTCTGGTGAAATAGAGAGATTTGAAACTCTTTTTCTCCCCTCTCCTCCCCCGTGCTCTGAAAAACATCTGCAGACAGTTTCCAAACACTGTGCAAACACCCAGCCAGACGAGCGCTGACAAGCTAGGCGGTGTGCAGGCAGGCCGCCTGCCGCGGTGTGTTGTGTAAGACCGGGGCGGTCCCCGCCGGTGTGGGACGGGAGGGGACGAGCCCTGTTTAAGGCAGAGGAAGGTGCGCAGTGCCTCACTCCTGGCCAGAGAGGCAGCGCTGCAGCGATCCCATGACAGCCCAGAGAGACAGCATGTCCGCAGTGCAGGAGCACAGCTGCCAGCTCCCAGGTACTGTGGCATCTTCCCATGGCGAACTGTGGTGTTTGCAGGGCTCTTTCACAGTTTAACTCCCCTTCACTTCTACTGCAGCGACTGTAGTCAGTACAGATAACGCAGCTGAAGACTCAGTAGCCCTGTGAGACATCTAACGTGCAAACAAGTCGAAGGATTCAGTAAACTTGAATTTTACTTCCTTTTATTTAAATGTTATTCAAATTAGTATCTAAAAGGTTCTCCTCGTACAGAATGTGATTTGTTTACGGCTTCATCCTGCAGAGAAAAGAGTCCTGTTGATAGCAGAAGGCTTGTGGTGGTGGTGGAGGGGAGTCCCCATTACCTGTAAAGCGCTTTGAGTGGACTGTCCAGAAAAGCGCTATATAAGTGTAAGCAATTATTATTAATATTATTATTGTAAAATCTATCCAGCAGGTTTGGAAAAGAGGAATATGTTTTTCACTGAAATATTGGTTTTGGAATTACTACATCTTATTCAGTACTTGAGGAAGTAGTTCAAAGTCTTCCCTGGGGCAATACACTTATGAAACCTGTTTCGTTAGTGTCTGTTTTTCAAACAAGGCATGTGATGAGAGGCATTGAAATACTTTCACTTTGAAGGGTTGGGAGACAGACTCCCAGTGCACAGCGCTCTGATCCACTCCAGGGTTTACAGTGATGCCAGTCAGACTCCCAGTGCACAGTGGTCTGATCCACTCCAGGTTTTACTGCTCTTGACTGACAGAAGTCAGTACCAGAGGCTGGAGGCTTAATCACATGTGCAATTAAAATAATAGTAAATATACTGTGTGCTGCCTGCTGAACATGCAGCCTGTAAAACCTGGAGTGGATCAGGGAGTTTCTTCACTGTAATGGGCTACAGTGCGTTTCGTTGAATGGAAGATCATCACGATGTGTATTTCTTCCCTTCCTGTTTGTAATCTTCCAGACCAGCCAAGGTTGCAGTCTTTGGGCCCGAGGAGGCGAGTGCTCCTGAATCCTGGTGTGCACCCAGTGTTCCTGGTGGGCTACCCAGGTACCAGCCCAATCTTGCTGGCCAACGACTCCACCCCACGCTCGCCTGCCCTGTCGGAGCGAAGGCGGTCGCCCAGGGGTCCTCCGCCATCCCCGACCTACCTAGTGATAGACGGCACCACCAGGCGCCTCCCCGCTGGCTGCAGCACTCGTCCGTCACAGCACCGGCCAGCAGAACCGGCCAATCCCACACCCCGGGCCGCTGGGGCAACCAATAGGAAGGTGGTGGCTGGGGTCAGGGCCTGCCTTCTGGGCGGGAGGAAGGTGGTGGAGAATCTTCTGAGACTCTTTCAGGGTTGGATGGGCTGACTGGGAGTGGGGGAGATGGAGGTGGATTTGGGAAGAGAGGAGATGATTCTGTGTGATTTAGGCAAACAGCCTGTACTCTCTGTTCCAGTTTCCTTTGATCAATAGAGCTGAGCTTTGTCTTTGCCTGGAAGATCACTACAGGAGCTGATGTTTTTTTAGAAAATCACTTGTTTTGCTGATATAGAATCTCTGACACAAGACATCGCTGACCACAGGGGTCACTCAGCTGACCTCAGGTGCTGAATGCATTTTTCTGGCAGTGGGATGTGACTCTCTGTGGAGATAACTCTGAGTGGTGATCACTGCAGTGATGGGACTCTTCAAACGGGTGCTGTGAGCTTCCTTGCACTTTTGTATGGCACTTTTTAAACTTCAGAAATGTCTGTTTCTGTCCTTACAGATCTCTGTGTTCACTGACAAATGATTTGTATTTTTGTTTCCTACTCTTTTATTAAAAAAAATATTCAAAACCAAGCCTAAGACTGAGTGCGAGCACACTGTGCTGCGGGACTGAGCCGAGCTGGGATCTGTAAGTACAGGCCAGTGCACCGGCGTCCCTGCAGGCTGACAGCACTGGGAGAGCCTGGAGGGAGCAGACAGGAGCGAGCAGAGAGCACGAGCAGCTGTAATCTGCATGGTTACAACAGATCTTCCTCGAGTCTAGTGTTACTGGAGATGGACAATCAGTGAAACCCTTCATCACCCACCAAACAATCCCATCAATGAAATCAATAAGTACTCTTAGACCTTACTGGCTCACAAAACTATTTATTTCCTAAGTAAAAAAGAGCAAAGTCATTTCAACGTGATTATCATGGGCGCTCTGTAGGGCTGGACAGAGCTGGTTGCCTGGTCAGCTCAGCGTTCAGAAGGAAATGGGCACCAGTCCTGAAACCCCCCCACACAGGGTCTGAGTGCACTGAGTCAACGGGGGTTTCAATAAGAGTCAAGGTTTAATTAAACAATTAACAGTAATTATCCAATTAAAAGCTTAGGGTGGGAGCTGTGGCCCTGTGTTGTCCTGCCAGGAGGTCAGGGGAGCTGTCTGGGGGAGGAAGAGACAGCAACGACACTTCACCACAGAGAAACACACACTTCTCACAGCAAGACATCAGATACGGGTATTCACACAGCACAATTTAAAACTGAGAACGCAATCAAATGTAGTTTTAGGTTTTTCTGTACCTACTAATCTTCTGGCATGTCGTATTTTTATATTTTCTTGCTTGGGCTCTCTAGAGAGAGACAGAGCCACATCAGCCCTTAACTGACAGCGCTGGCTGTTGTGGAAGCACCCAGTGTGTACAGTAACAGTGTTAGACACAGCAGTATAAATAGAGGTTATTTACAAAGCAAGGGGGCTGGTTCTCGCAGGTCTGGACAGGGTGCATGTTGGTGTTTATCTATTTTGTCAGTGTGTGTGTGTGTGTGTCTGTGCGTCAGTGTGTGTGTGTATCTGTCTCAGGCCTGCTCGGGGGGTGGCTGACGCTCAGATCTTGATCTCTGTGCGGAAGGTGGGAGGGGCGTGGTCGCTGTGCTTGGCTGGGTGTCTTCTCGCTTTGACAGTCAGCGCTCCGCTCTCCCCCAGGGCAGAGGTGACCGAGGTGGGGTCCACGTCCTCGGGCAGCTGGCACTTGTGGGTGAAGGTGTTCATCACTGTGCCGTCTGCAGCCAGCTGGTGAGGTCAGGGAGCAGAGAGTGAGCAAGGACAAAGCACCAGTAACGACACCCATCCCACTGCCTGCTTTGGCTCTCTACACTCAGATCAGGAAACAAATTAAAATGTTTTTTTTTTTAAAGAAAAAAACAAGCAACCGTATACTGAACATGGGCACAGGGGATATAAAAGACCTGCCAGCAGCCATATCACCCTGCAACTCACAGCTGGCAGCCCACTGAAGCTCAGCAGGTGTGAGCCTGGTCAGTACCTGGATGGGAGACCTCCTGGGAAAAACTAAGGTTGCTGCTGGAAGAGGCGTTAGTGGGGCCAGCAGAGGGCGCTCACCCTGCGGCTCATGTGGGTCCTAATGCCCCAGTGTAGTGACGGGGACACTATACTGTAAACAGGCGCCGTCCTTCGGATGAGACGTAAAACCGAGGTCCTGACTCTCTGTGGTCATTAAAAATCCCAGGGTGTTTCTCGAAAAGAGTAGGGGTGTAACCCCGGCATCCTGGCCAAATTTCCCCATCGGCTGTTATCAATCATGGCCTCCTAACAATCCCCCTCTGTGAATTGGCTTCATTACTCTGCTCTCCTCACCACTAATAGCTGGTGTGTGGTGAGCGTTCTGGCGCACTATGGCTGCTGTCGCATCATCCAGGTGGATGCTGCACAATGGTGGTGGTGGAGGGGAGTCCCCATTACCTGTAAAGCGCTTTGAGTGGAGTGTCCAGAAAAAGCGCTATATAAGTGTAAACAATTATTATTATTAATTAACTGTTCCTTTTCTTCAGTTAAACTGTACGGAGGCAGCGCAGCGAGGCGGGAGGCCATGTCGCCCTCTGCTGGCGGCCGGTGGAAGTGCGCCTAGGAGGAGCACTGACAGCCGCTTGCTGGCTCCGGCGAGATCTGGCAGAGGGCTGATTTACTGGCGACCCTGCCCTCTGATCCTGTAATCACTAGTCAATGTTGAAAGTTTGTTTTTAACATAATACATTATATTTGTGTGTTTAAATGAAACACAGGGACTTGTTACTTGTTACTTTTTTCAAAGCTTTCAAAGCTTTTTTCCTTCATCACAGACTTCTGCTAAAATCTGCTTACTTCTCATTACTGTTATTCATCTTTACTTCAACGTGGCTGAATCTCACTTGATCTGCAAAGGGAAATGTTACTCTCTGGAGCAGAGAGCTGTGACAGTGCCTGGATGTGACACAGGTGATGCAGACTGCGCCTGAGCTGAGCCCCGGCCTCACCTTTTCCGCCCGGACCTCGATCTGGTTGTTGGATGTGGTGACGATGACGTCCTCTGGGGAGAAGTCGCTGACATCCACTGTGAACTGGTAGGTGTCCCCCAGGGTCCTGATGGTCCCTGCATTGCCAGAGCGGCCTGGGGCGGCAGCAGGAGGGGACGGAGAAAGACAGAGGTTGAGAAGGAGGCAGGAGGACAAATCCAAGCAATTCAATCATCCTTAAACCCGAGTGTGAGACTCAGGGATAAAAGAGCAGGTGCAGCTGCTGGCTGGGAACGGGAGACTGAAGCCCCTCTCGCTCCAGCCCCAGTGCGCAGAGACTGCGGAATCACAGCTCTCTTCCAGGAAGCAGCAAGGACAGAGGACTGTTCGCAGGAAGGAGCTCTGAGCTCTAAAACTGGGGTCCTGCCAGTCCTGAAGCTGCTTTTCTATTATTTCAGTGCCCCCTAGAAACTGCCCAGGGGGAAGCCAGATGGACTTTCCCTTGACCGGGCCATAGCGGGCCTGGCTGTGCTCCTATACGGTGTCTCAGGGCCTGGAGCCCAGCCAGCGCTGCTCCCTTCATCAGCACCTGCTGGAGACTCTGCTGGACTCTGTCTCCTGTCCCCACAGTGTCCTCCCACTCTGCGCCCCTGTACTCTGTCTCCTGTCCCCACAGTGTCCTCCCACTCTGCGCCCCTGGACACTGTCTCCTCGTCCCCAGAGTGTCCTCCCACTCTGTGCCCCTGGACACTGTCTCCTCGTCCCCACAGTGTCCTCCCACACAGCGCCCCTGGACTCTGTCTCCTTGTCCCCACAGTGTCCTCTTACTCTTCGCTCCTGGACACTGTCTCCTTGTCCCCAGAGTGTCCTCTCACTCTGTGTCCCCTGACCAACACCCCAGACACTCTGGTGACCTGAACCAGTGCTCCCATCACAAACAGGTCTGTTCCCAGAATCCCAACTCCAAGCTCCCGACACAAAACTAGCTGCAGGAAGTCTCAGACACCCTTCAGGACAGTCAGACACCCAGGTTGTTGCGAGAAGGACGTCGGCCCAACATGAAGAAGGCCAGAGTGACGGTACGTTGTGGAGCAGAGTGTTGTAATCAAACTGCAAGAAACACTCTACCTGCAGCTCAGACTGAAACCAGGAGGCACTTCTTTAAGCAAGACTCCTGTCTCCCCAGACTGGGGCTCTTCAGGCTCCTGTCTCCCCAGACTGGGGCTCTTCAGACTGCTGTGTACCCAGACTGGGGCTCTTCAGGCTCCTGTCTCCCCAGACTGGGGCTCTTCAGACTGCTGTGTCCCCAGACTGGGGCTCTTCAGACTGCTGTGTCCCCAGACTGGGGCTCTTCAGGCTCCTGTCTCCCCAGACTGGGGCTCTTCAGACTCCTGTCTCCCCAGACTGGGGCTCTTCAGACTGCTGTCTCCCCAGACTGGGGCTCTTC